CTTCAAAGCCCTGATCTGACTGCTAACATGGACCATTGGAGACTCTGGTCTCCTGATGGTAATGAACACATCCATGCACATAAAACACAGGTACTCTGCGCAGAGACCATTGGAATACTTGTCTGCTGTGGACATCAAGATTGCACATGTCGCTTTGAAAATGCTCCAGTTTATGTCCTGTCTTTTTCCTGACTCAGCACTGTGGTGTACGGAAACCGTAGCTCTTCTGGGGTCGCTGAAATACAGCCATAATGTTCTCCAAACAAGTGCTGCCAAGAAAGAATTGTGAGCAACAGTCCTCTCAATGTTAGTTGTTAAATGTCACACTGATCAGCCCTCTCCCTTTGCAATTTTCTTTTGCCAAAAATCCCTGGCTGAACAGGACATAGCTATGCACTGGTGTGTTTCAGTTCCCCTTCTTAAACCAAACATCTAATGAAATTTGCTTTGGAAATCAAACGTCTCACTAATGGCAAGCCAAGAATTATTCTTAGAGAAAAGACTAAATTTCAACTTCCAGATCCTGCAGCAAGGCAAAGTCTGCCAGGTCACCAAAGTTCACTGGTGACATTTATACAGTTACACTGGGTTAGATAAAACCCAGTTATGTGCATCAGTTTTCTTCTTTTTTTTTGTTTGTTTTGTCTGCCAAGGACACTAAATGTGAAAAAGCATTGATGCTTTTTCTTAGTTTGGGGGTTAATAACAATGGTATTTAGATGAATGAGTTGAACCTTTGTTTGTACTCAGTCGTGGGACTGGTCACAAAAACAAAAACACTTGGACAGGCTGCTGCAAGCTGTTGACAAATTTGAGATAAATTCTGAAGCAAATGGAGCTAAGCGTAACGACTGAAAGCCTAACATTTGAGCTGTGAGGTCCCTTGTTTTTCGAATCAATTCTATTCCTATCAGATTTTCCATAAAAATACTCATTGAATCGTATGTGACACACCAGGTTATAGGTCATGCCTTACATGTTGACAGCAGACAATCATTTACTGATGATCGATACACCAAGAGGACATTAGTTTTAGGCAGAAAATGTTGAGCCTGAACCCATATTTAATCATTACATTTGAACTCTACCTTCAGGTTAGAGGGGATATTTTGATTTTGGATAAATAATGACAGCCCCATTTACTAATGACAGACCAGGTTGTTTCGAATTTCTACTATTTAAGAATTAGCCAGGCTTGTTTTTCCTAGTATTTTTCACTTGGGGACCATCTTTGTTTCTGTGCATGTGTGTGTTCTTAAATCCTTGCCTTGATACAGTTCTCTAACTCTCTCCCTCTCTCTCTCTCCCAGTTCTGCAAACCCTTTCTTTGACCTTGTGAATTTGTTTTTAGCTGATACGTATTGGCAGCTCTGAGGCCTCATGTCCACGGGTGCACGCCTTTCCAAGTCTTTTTCAATCAAATACTTTTAGCACAGGTGGACTTCAATGCACTCAGGCTGTGGAAACATCATCTAGTTGACTAGGAGAAACAACAGTTTTCTAAATAAGAGCTAAAAACCTGATTTCCAATGGAACAAAAAAAAAAAATCAAATTTATTTAGAGTTGACTTTCATTAGAAAAAAAAAAACATGATTATTAGTAAAAATATTCATTTCATGTTCTCCGTGTGAAATTTCTTTACTAATTTTATTTTCTACAACTTTACAATAAAGCACAGTTTTCGCTTGTTTACAAAAAATTCTAAGACGAAGATAGATCATAATGAATAGGAGTGTACAGCTTTGTGGTAGGCCCAGTGGCCCCACAGCAACCCAGTGCTCTTTATTTGGCAAATAGCCCGGGGGTGTCAGAAATATTGACACGCTTGCACAAGATGGAAACTCTGCCAGCCTTTTCTTAAGCTGTGTATTCTGTCTGCCCAGCCAGGTATTGTAGAGCCCCGTAAAGGCCCTGTGAATAGTGTCAAACTTGATAGTTCTCATTTTGCTTCCTGTACATGGCAGAAGAAAAAGTTTTGTGATGGTCTCCTCTAGTCTTCCTGGGAACACACCACATTCCAGCCACAGTCATTCTTTTTGTGAATCAGGGAATTGGGGGAACAACTTGTTATGCCAGTAAACCTGCTGGATTTTGGTGTATGAAAGTCTAAGACTTGGTGTTTTTGTAAATGATGTCAGATAACGAGCAATTGTTTTGCAGTGTTTTAACAGAGCTCTTTGTTTTGTGAGACTTTCTCTCGTTTTATGTTCGTCCATGTCTAAGGTGTGTTTTAAGGTGTCCCCTAATTGGATGAACCATTGTACCAATTATTAGGTTTACAGTCATTGGGTTCAGATTCAAATGCAAATTTTGGTGTAAATTTTGGTTCAGAAAATGCAAATTTTGCTGTAATGTCAATCCTGTGTTTTTTTCCTCAAACCAAAAGAGTGTTGTTAGCTGCCTCAGAAGAACAAATGTGTTAACTTTCTATCATTGCATCATCAATTTAATCCAATTAATGGAATACAATTCAGATACAGCAAGATTGTTACTTTAACAAGACAGCCTTAAGTCTCCTCATTCTCCTGACGTCATACTCCTGTACTCCTGTAGCAGAGCCTTTAGCATATGAGCTAAAAAGAGCTAACACACATCTGCCAGTTTTTATATTGTCATACTTGTTACAAAAAAGATAAATAGGTCTTTTAAAAAGTCATTTTCCAATTACAATAATGGTTTGCTGTAGCCGTGGCAGTCTCAGCTAGCACGGAGATAAAAACAAAGTTTTGTCCAAAGTTTTCAAGTATAATATATATGAAAAAAAAACATGTTCTACCTATGAAATTATTTTTTAACAACCCACAGCATATTTGAAAATGGAGTCTCATTCTGTGTCTCTGGCATTCTTGTGTCAGATTGTGCCATGGACTGTCCACCATTAGCCCTTTTGGGTGAAGGGAACATGTTTTCCTCCTCACTTACTGACAAGAGGGAATTGTCAAGGTTAAGTAGATAGAGCAGCCGGAAATAATTACCAAGCACTTGTGAGCCCCCCTCAACCTCCTCCCTCTTTTGTTCCTCTTTTCTCTTTAATTTTAACGCTGTTTGCAACATGCAGACCTTGTTTGTGATTACAATCGGCCTGGACTTCCCTCGTACCATAGCAAAAGATATTTTTCCTTGGAGGCAACACTATTTTACATGCATTTGGACCTGCAATTTCCTATGCTTAAATTCTGCCGAGTTCTCCTTTGGCCAAGGAAAGGCGAGCTTTTGTGTGGAGTTCATGCAAAACAACCCCCTTTCTACAAATCAAGTGGCAGATGACAGACAATGATGAAAAATTGATTCTTTGAAGTTCTAATGGCCATTGAAATGTGTAAAATTCTTGTAATGAAAGGAGAACACCCTGGAAGGCCCTCAGTCCTGGGTGGCTGCTGCGGGCATGCTGGGAGGTTGGTCTGAGTTTGGTCACCAACTGCTTGTTTTCTAATTCCTTTAAGAATTGGACCAGATCCTCGATAGGAGCTTAGAAGGGGGCTCCAGTTCCTCAGAAATATGCGTGTTGTACACCCAGAGGCCCCTCCTCCTCTTCCTCAATTCACTCTGGCCTATTTTCCAGTGTAGTCTGGAAAAAATTGTGTTGAACATTATCCAGATTAAAAAAAAAAAAAAAACATCAAACTAAGAGCAAATGGTCATTATGTTCTTATTCTTTTTTTGTGTATGAATTCTTGGTTGACTTCTCCTTGGGGAGTCAGTGCTTTCTTAATCGGTTTTTATAACACCATTATTCAGTTAAAATGAAATCGTGTGCAACTATAAAGTTAATCATGTGAATTATTCATCTGTTGCTTTAAAAGAAATATTTAGCTCATTAAACGTCCTTGGACGTTTACAAGCAACATGTTACAGGGAGAAACACAATAGTAATGTTCTGACAGGTGAAAGCAAAGCAGAAATTTATCTGTAGTTGTTATAACTGCTGCCAGAAAACATCAGATCACAGAAACGATAAAAATAGAATCCAAACTTTTGGTTCGTTCAACTGCGACTATAAAGTGTTCTCTGCCTGGATTGGTTCCTGACGTGAAAAGACATATTTGCGTTCCTTTGACCTTGCTATTTAAAAAATGAAAATAAATCTCCACAGATCAATGTAAAGTATGATTCTATTCTACATTAAGTAGTTGATTACAAAAGTACTTTATTTTTAAAACAGAGACTGAATCTTTTCCTCACATCATTTTTCTGACAAAGTTGTCAGAATTTTGGGTTGTACTTTTTTTTAACACCTGCAAAGTAACTTTTACACGACCTTTCCCCAACAAATGAATATGCATTTGTCTTTGCATGAACCCCTTATTCTTTGCAGGGGAAAGAAAAACTCATCAGTCAACAGGTCACATGAAAGTCAGGACTGAAAGAACTTTGGCTGCTCTGGAACCAAAAGACATGTTGACATGTTATTTTCATTTGCTTGGTAGCATAAAAAGTTTTTAGTATTTTCTTTTATGCCTTAGTTGAACTTGTTACTAGGCTTTGTGTTTTGTGGCAGATCAGTTGCAGATTCCTTAACCGTCTCTGGACAACACGTATCTTTTTCCCCCACCCTATCCACCGTTGGATAGGTGGTTTTCGTGTAAATACAACTGCTTTGTGTCTGATTCTTGTTGAGGTCAAAGTATGGAAACGGCTAATTAGCCGAGGTAGCGATTTACCTGGGTCAAATGCCAGGTGAATGTCCTAGAATAACAAAGACAATTGTGTTTTTTGGGGGGCAGTTTTTTTGGGGCATTATTGGTTAAGGAAGCGGACTTGTGTCCGGAAGGTTTCAGGTTTCCTCAGTTCTTCAGAACTGAAATGCCTCTTGGATGAGAGGTGAATCGTCTTCAAAAACAAAAACCTACTTCGTACGGTTACCTTAGATCTAACCATGTTTGGAAAACCCTGATACCTGCTCTTAACTTTTCGACATCATCTCTTTGTGTCAGAGTTTTCCAGTCTGAACTCAACGTTGTCTTACTGTAAAACGTTCTTTGTTTCTGTCTATTTCTAGGACCTCTCTCCCTTGTCTGGAGTTCCAGAGGAGCATATAACAACTCGCAAGGTCCACATTTTTGTCCCGACCAAAAGCGCCATGCAGTCTGGTATCAACGGCACCAAAAAGTGGAAGATGGACTTTGACACCAGAGATCGCTGGGAGAATCCACTGATGGGCTGGGCCTCCTCGTCAGTGTCTTTTTTATTTCTACCTTTGACAATATTTATTTATTTATTTTAAGTCACTTAAGTCAATTTTATTGCCACGGTCCGGGTCTCAGAACATTTTTTTCCAATCTGTGAAACATGAACATTTTACTCTTGTGAATAATATTATTGTCTAAGTTTGTTTTGTTTTTTTTCCCTCCCAGAGCTGATCCCTTATCTAACATGGTGCTCACATTCTCCTCGAAGGAAGACGCAATTGCTTTTGCAGAGAAAAATGGTAATTTTAAAACATTTTTATAAAGTTACTTTCCATGATTGTAGTCAAGTGGACAAAGTCGTCCACAGCTACAGTGGTGCTGCTCACTGTGTGTCTGTCGAATCAGGCTGTTTCCCAGATTTGAATTTGAAATTTTCTTTTTCTTTGGAAAATTGACAGCGTTAAACTCAGAGACTTTCATTAAAGACAGTGGAGTTATATGCACTTTCATATTTTTATACAAGGAAAATATGTACAACAGGACTTGGGCAGCATGTTTAATGGCTAGCTGTCTTTTACTAAGGTTATTAAATAGGTGGACCTCAGTCTGGATGCAGACCCAGACATCTGGACCGGAGCCTGTAACTGAAAAATACAACAATATTAGATATATAATTAAAGCCCCACCCCCTTTTAATTTGAAGAAGTTTATTTAAAATGATTATTGATTTTTTTTATTGATTATTTCTTTAGTGTTACAATAAATGATTCCACAGAAAATATTTTTTAAGCTGTTGAGGAGACAGTGATGTTCTTTCTCCATCGATCACCACTTTGTTTTGTTTTTTCATCTTTAGTTACTGATAGTTGATTATAGACCATGTTACCTCAGCATAATTGCCACCATCTGTTATCACTATCTCAGCTCTGTATTAACTGATACAGACTAGTCTTCTGTTTGGCCAAGGTAAACCTCTCAGAACTTTTTCCGGAACCGATTCATCTGTTAAAGTTTGTTGAAACTGAGTCAAGGGGAAACGGCCCTCTCTGTTTATCGCCATGAAAGCGATTAGAGCAGTTCTGACCGCACACAGCCTGGGCGATGTCGACACAACGCCTCGTTCTGTATGGAGTTTGTCCAGACAGAATATACATGACCTAGCCAGACCCATCATTTACCCTGTGGTGTGTTTTTTTTTTCTTCAGGTTGGAGCTACGATGTGTCAGAGAAGAAGAGCTCCAAGCCCCGGGTGAAATCGTACGGCGCAAACTTCTCCTGGGACAAGAGGACCAGAAGGTCCGCTAAATAAACAACTAAAGTCACACATCTGTTAGTTGGCTTGACCCCGCCCTGTCCTCGTATCATTCTTGACAATAAATATATAATTATATACTTGAAACTCAAACAGTCGGGTCATTATTGCATATATTTGTCAAACATTCACCTCATTACTGACTACCCAATGAAGCCCACCTAATTAATTATGTTTCTGGTCCCCTGAAAAACACGGTGTAACAGTTTGAGGCTGTTTGAACAGCAGGATGAGTCCATGTGGTGGAGAGAAAGTGACATTTAGTTCCAGCTGAACCTGGAACATGTTTTCCTGAAAACGTTAATGTTGTTTTACTCTTAAAGAGTTAAAGCCAAGTAATGAATAATAACAAATAAATAAAATTGACTCCTGGGCCACATGTTCTGTTGGACCACATCTCATATTATATTTGTCCCGTCATCTATCAACATATTGGTTAAATATGAAAAAAAGGAGAGTAAGAAAGTTAGAGCAACAAGCCCAATTCCCTGGAACTCCGACTGTGTTCTCTAAGTTATTGTCTTTTTATCATGACGCAACAAAATTCTTTCAGGATTACATCTCGAACACTAAACCTGTGGTTTCTGTAGCGCCACCTTGTTGTAGACAGGAGTATTGTTGCGCTCCTCCCAAATTGACACATTCACAGATAGCTTTTCAAAAGTTCTCTGAACTTCATTGAAACCCACCAATTCCTACATACTGACTACTGACGACAGTAGCATT